CAGCCGCGCGCCGCCCCAGGGGCCCGGGCCCCGCAGCAGTCTCGTCGCCGCTAGCACCACGGCCGCCATCTTGGGTCTCCGCCCACCGCTTCTGTCGTCACTTCCGGGCGCCCCGCCCTCCAGCCCGGCGCGCGGGGGCGCGCTTCCGGCGCCCGGAGCGGAAGCCACGGCGAGGGGCTGGGAGAGGCGGGCAACGGGGCGGGTGACTCGGGCTGCGGCCGGGGCGGGCCGGGGCCATGGGGCTGCCGCTGCCGGGCTAGGGAGGGCGGGCGCGGCTGGGCCCGCGGCGATGGCGGGCTACGCGCGCCGCCCGGGCGTCCCCCCGCTGTCCCGGGCCCGGAGCCTCGTCATTCCGGACGGTGAGTGGGGGGCCGGGAGGGCAGGGGAGGGGAGGACCAGGCGGGGAGGGCCGGGCCGCGGTGAGTCGCCCCTGTTTATTACAGCTCCAGCGTTCTCTGAGCGCCGGTCCTGTCTCCCCCAGCTAGACTGTGAGCGCCCCCGTGGCGGGGACCTGGACTCCCACTTCTTCGGCATTCGGCCGACGTTTATGTGCTATGTGCCCAGTCCGGTGCTAGCTTCCGTGGGAGACACAGGTGAGAGACGAGCCGCAGGGACCCGGGTGCCGGCACCACCTGTAGGTAACTCTGCTGTAGCGTTAGCTCATCCCTTGACCCAGCGGTGAGCGCTGGGCGCCACTGTGTGCCGGGCACTGGGAATACAGAGGTGGAGAGCGGTCCCACCGCTAGGAGCTCACAGTCTGGTCTTGGGGAGACGCCCCCAGACAGTTCCAATCCAGGCTGGTAGGTGCCGGAGTAGAGGTATGTCCAGTGGGAGCACAGGAAACCACCTCCTCCTTCCAGATGGTGGGGAGGAGGGCAAGGGAGCCTTCACTCAGAAGTTGGTGATTGGAAACAGCTGGAGCAATCCTCCGGTCATGACGGCCCGGCAGTGCCAGCTTTAGTTCATCCTCATTTCTCCCGAGCAGCTGCATCCAGGGTGTGCAGCGAGGGATTAGGTGGTTACATCAGGGTCTGAGAGGCTAATGGCAACCCACGAGGGCATTCAGGGGCTGTCACAAGACAGAGGAGGATGTGCACAGCCCCCCTGGGCATCCACACCTCTGGGAGCTTTTTCAGAGTCACAGATGCCAGGGCCCATGCAAATCAGACTATTCCCTGGGCAGGAGCCTGGGGGCTGGTGTTTTAGAAGTTCCCCCAGGCTACGAGAACCACACCAGTAGAGACCACATGTTGAGAAAAACGTTGTGGTCATGAAGGATTACCATGATCACAGTGAGGTGACAATGTCTCTCTGCAGATTTTGGCTTTGGAAAGGGGAAGTGTACTAAGCAAGGTCCATCGGGAGCCCAGGAGACACATTTTGGAGGTAGAGTAGTTCAGTAATCCTTTCCTTTTCTCTCTGTCTGACACTCAGTGCCGGGCACGTGCCCGGTGGCGGGGTTGTCAGTTTGACAGCATATAACCGGTACCTGGATCCTGAAAGAGCAGGTGGCGGTAGAATCCCACGAACTCAATCTTGACCCTGGGGGAGAAGAAAGGAGAGCACAAGGTCTAGAGAACCTGAGATGTGAGGGACGGCCAGGGGGCAGGAAGTCACACCTGAGGGGTCTGAGGGGACAGCAGGAGCTGGGAGTACAGGAGCCAACTTGACACAAAGTTGGCACCTGGTCTCGGCTCACTGCGGGGCCGAAAAGACTGCGGGGTGGCGGTTAGGTACTGGGAGAGCAAGAAGGAAGAGGATAGAGGTGGAGCAGTGATTCCCAACTTGGCCGCACCACTGCAGCCCGGACACCCCCAGGGCAGGTGGTGCCCCAGTCGGCCTGCGTGGGAGCAGAGGCTCGTGGTAGTCTTGATCCCCCGGTGGTTCCCCTGAGCAGCAAGGTGTGGGAACCAAGGGGTTGGGAACGGGAAGGGTTGTCTTGAATGCAGAAGCAGATCTGTTTTATTGGCCAGCTTTCTCATTTCCTATTGTCACTGAGTTCTGGTGGAATGATGAGGTGGCATTCCCAATTTTAGATGTGGTCGTGTTCTGGAAAGAGAAATGAATAGGAAAGTTCCCTTTTAATGACCTTCACAGGACTTTTTGCATTTGTGATGTCTGTTATTATTTCAGATGATAAACTTGATGATCTTGAAGAGACAAATCCATTCTCCTTTAAAGAGTTTCTGAAAACTAAGAGCCTTGGCCTGTCGAAAGAGGACACAACCAACAGCAGGATTTATTCAAAGGTAAATCTGAGGAGTTGTTTGCAGTGACTTGAGACAGGAAAGTCCTCCAGAAGACGTCTCTCTTCTGATTTGCAGCCTTCCTTTAGAGAAGATGGTGCAAGAGTTGTGGGGCAGCGCGAGGCAGCTGCTAATGCTAGTGGAGAAATTGTGTGGGTTAAGAAGCTGTTGGGATCCTCCCTGGCTCTCGTCTTTCCTGGTGGACAAGATGAGGCCTTTCTTATGTTCCAGTGTTGAACATCTAGGAAGAAAGGCCTGCAGTGGCTCCTGGGTCTGAGCCTTCCTCCCGCTGTTTCGTTTAGGAAACCCCGAGGCACTCACTGGGACTCGACCGCGACTCCCCAGCCTCTCAAACCGGGGCGTACGGCCTGGAATATCAGCAGCCTTTCTTCGAAGACCCGACGGGGGCTGGTGATCTCCTGGACGAGGACGAGGATGAGGACGATGGGTGGAACGGGGCCTACCTGCCGTCTGCTGTGGAGCAGACCCACTCCTCGAGGGTGCTTGCCAGCATGTCGCCCTGCAGCACATACGTCTCCTTTTTCTCCAACCCGTCGGAGCTGGTGGGGCCCGAGTCTCTGCCCCCCTGGACACTCAGTGACTCCGACTCCCGCGCTTCTCCATCGGGGAGCCCCAGTGCAGACTTTGCCGCCCACGGAGAGTCTCTGGGAGACAGGCACCTTCGGACGCTGCAGATAAGTTACGAAGCAGTAAGTGCCGGGGGGCTGTGTGCCGGTGCCCTGGTAAACAGCTCCTGTCTGAGCAGTGTCATGGAGGAAACCTGGAGCCTCTGTGTCCTTGATGGCCAGGGGTTTGGGCTCCAAGGACAAGCCAGTATGTGTGCAGCAGCCTGCTGCGGAGTCTCCGTGCAAAGCGCTCTCCCCTCTGCTACCCGATTATGCTGTGAACGTAACAAATTGAAAAGCACTGTGCAAGGCTTATGAGAAATGGCCTGTCTTAGGCTGCACTGGAGCAAAGATGAGCCCCACAAAGGGCTGCCCCTCAGAAAAGGATCTACTCCAGCCATCAGCTCAGGGATGTCTCGCCAAGTGTTCTGAGTAGGGGAAATTTTTTTGTTTTTTGTGAGGAAGACGAGCCCTGAGCTAACATCTGTTGCCAATCCTTCTCTTTTTGCTGAGGAAGACTGGCCCTGGGCTAACATCTGTGCCCATCTTCCTCCACTTTATATGGGACGCCGCCACAGCATGGCTTGATAAGTGGTGCGTAGGTCCACGCCCAGCATCTGAACCCACAAACCCCGGGCCGCCAAAGCGGAGCGCATGAACTTAACCGCTACGCCACTGGGCTGGCCCCTAGAGGAAAGTTTTTTTTTTAATTTATTTTTTTTTCCCCAAAGCCCCAGTAGATAGTTGTATGTCATAAATGCACATCCTTCTAGTTGCTGTACGTGGGACGCGGCCTCAGCATGGCAGGAGAAGCGGTGTATCGGTGCGCGCCCGGGATCCGAACCCGGGCCGCCAGCAGTGGAGCGCGCGCACTTAACCACTAAGCCACGGGGCCGGCCCAGGAAAGTTTTTTAAAAGTTATAATCACCTAAAAAAGAGTTAGAAGATATGAGTAAAATTGGAGTCTGTGACCATAAGCCTCTAAAAAATAGATAGCTTCATTCCCGGTGGTTCTCTGAGTGGCCTCTAGGTTGACTCAGAGCCAAAGTGCAGACATGCAGACCCCTTTTGAGTGCAAGACACTGGGTCTCTAATGAGGATTTTCTCTCTACAGCTGACAGATGAAAATGCTAAGCTAAGAAGAAAGCTGACTGAGGTCCAGAGCTTCTCTGAAACTCAGACAGAAATGTATGTAAGCTTCTAGTTAGGATTGCAGTTTAAAACATCTCCACCACTCAGAGCAATCAGTTCTAGAACGGTCACGAAGTAATCTGAGTTGAACTGAGTCTGGGGTTTATTGTATGTGAAATCCTCAGTATCAAACACTTGTGTTTTGTTTCTTGTGTTTTGTGTAAGTTTACTTTAAACATTAGACCAGAATCAAGCACACCTGATAACAGAGCAGCAGAGCCGCCAGTCGGCTCCCCGCTGCCCTTGACCGTGAGCTGCTGCCCTTGACCGTGAGCTGCTGCCCTTGACCGTGAGCCGCTCTGGATCCCGCCCTGAGGGTACCAGCTCAGGCCTTTGCCCCCCGGAGCTTCCTTCTGAGACAGTGGGCTCTTGTGGTTTTTATCTCATCGACCCAATTACAATGCCTTTTAGAAGATTCTTAGAATTAGTCATGTGAGTTATTCATAACGTGGGTGTTTCCTTTAAAAGGGTGAGGACCCTTGAGCGGAAATTAGAAGCAAAAATGATAAAGGAGGAAAGTGACTATCAGGATCTGGAGTCCGTGGTTCAGCAGGTGGAGCAGAACCTGGAGCTGATGACGGTGGGACACAGTCTCCTCGTTTGGGGGGGGGGCAGAGCTGCTGTCAGGTGGAGATTGTGAGGTGCTGGGCGTGTCACTCCCTAAGGGGGTTGCAGTCCTGGGCGTTGTAGCCGAGCCCTGTCCTGGGGACACGGGGGGGGGGGGGGCACAGCTTCTGCAGGAAAAGGTCCCTCACAATGGGCTTCTGACCCAGGGCTGGGCCCGCCTTGGGGGGTGGAGCGCCTGGTTGGGGGGAGCTGGCCCGGGCTCCTGGGTGCGGGCAGAGGGTCGGGAAGAGGGATGTGTCTTGCTTCCATAGCACCATGTCAGTGATGGTTTTTTTTGGCTAACAGAAACGGGCTGTAAAGGCAGAAAATCACGTTATGAAACTCAAACAGGAAGTAAGCTTGCTCCAGGTAATTAGAAGGTCTTCAGTGTTGTCACGTGCATGCAAATTCCAGTGACTTCCAGAAAAGACATGACAGAACCTCTGCTGGGGTTCTTCCCTCCCCTGACAGATGAAGCACCTAAAATCACAACAGCGTGAGCTTGCCCCTCGGGCCGTAAAGGAAGGAAACAGCTGAGTCCTCCTGGTCCTGTTTCTTCTGCTTAACAAGAGAGTCATGGCTTTACTGTGTTGTCTGGGTTGGTACGTGCACTTGCACGAATTTCTCTTTTGCAGATCGGTGCTGAGGAGGGACTGAACTCAAGGGACCAGCGTTAGGCCCATGTCCCTCAGGAGCCCCCAGTTAGGAAAGAGTTCCTGCTGTCGTGGCCCCGACCCCTCGGTTGCTCTTCCAAGGGTGCTGTGTTTGCTTCAGTGGGACTGTGTTTTAGCTGCTCTCCTGTTCAGCCATAAAAGTCCTTCACCGCTCCCACCCCCAGGCGCAGGTCTCGAACGTCAGGCGGGAGAATGAAGCCCTGCGGTCGGGCCAGGGCGCCAGCCTGGCAGTGGTGAAGCAGAACACCGAGGTGGCCCTGCAGAACCTCCACGCTGTCATGAACAACGCACACTCATCCATCAAGTGAGTGCCGCCGGGAGCTGAGGGCCCTGGCACCGTGCGGGGTGAGGCAGAGAGGCCCTCAGCCCCTGCGTGGTTCTCGGGGGCTCCGGGGGAGGTGCGCTTGCTGATCCTGTGAACCCTGAGGCCACGACCGTTCTTTGCTGGGAGGTGTGGACGTTAACGTCAGACACACCTGAGTCCTGCGCCTTCACCTGCTCGACACCCGAGTTCTGGGTGGAGGGGAGTAACGACATCCCCTCTTGTTGTAAGAAGGCCCCTGTACTGCGTGGCACAGGGGAGCCCTGGGGAGACGTCAGTTGCCGCCCTCATTAATATTTGCCATCGTCCATCTCTCCCTGGGCGGGGCATTCTGCAAGGCCGGCCGTGTCCAGCCACGGCCTGAGCACTTCTAGGGAATAACGAAGCCTGTTCTGAGTCAAGTATGAGAGTCTCTTCAGAGAAAATATAAGATGTTAAAAATCGGTGCTTTTCACTCGGGAACTTGTTTGCTTTAATGCTTCTGTTACTGCTATTGGAGAGTTGTAGCAGCAACCTGTAATAGCTGTCTTTTCATTTTAGGCAGCTGGTTTCTGGAGCTGAAACATTGAATCTCGTTGCTGAAATCCTTAAATCTATAGACAGAATTTCTGAAATTAAAGGTGAGGAGGAGGAGCCTTGAGAACCACTGACACGCTCCAGCTCGCAGCCTGTTTACATCCTGACATCACTACTCGCTGGATTTAAAAATGCCGTTGTGTCTTTAAACATGCAGCCTCACCCGTAGTAAACACACTCCTCATGAGATGCTGATTTCATGACCTCCAGCGGTATTACTTCTCCGCCTGAGGAGCAGCTCCTGTGCGTGAGCGCTGCCCAGTGCCACCTATGCAGCGCCCCCCCCAACGCCGCTGCGTTACAAACTAATAAGTTATCGGAAGACGTTTTTATAAAAGCTGGTGATTTTTTAAAGTTACTAAACATGAAAACAGCAGTTGTGTAATAAGGGTTTTCCATTACATTCCAGAACATTATTTGTAAGATAAGTTCGCTTGATCGTCCTTGACTTCGTAAATAGAGAAAAACACTAAGTGAGCCGTGGTTTTGGTGGTCGCCTTGGATGGGGACTTGTGCCTTTCCGCCGTCGCTCAGTGCCCCTCTGGCTCCCAGTCCACGCCGGCAGCCTTCACAGGGGTGGCTCCTGTGGTTGGTGGCCTGAGCACGGACGCCTCACATGGTGGATGCTGCCGACCTCCCACAGGGACCAGGGTCGGCACAGGCATTCCGTGGTCTGAGGCCGTCTACACATACATCTCTCTGGGCCTTCAGATTTGAAAAACTGCTTTTGGCTGGAGGGTTTTGATAGACGCTTCAGGTGGCATTTTGTACAGTGAAGCTTAGAACTGAGGAATGCAGAGTGTGTGCGGAGCCTTCCCGGGTTAGCTCGAGTTGCCCAGGTGCCTTTACACCCGCTCTCCCACATGGGCGGGCATAACATGCACTGTGCGCCTTTCTGGCTCTTTTCCTGTAGATGTTATTTTTTAAAATAAATTTACATTTTCCCTCCTGTTAAAATTGAGAGCTTTCTTATTTAATAAATTCTAAAATTCACGTGCACTATCCTTTTTTTCCTGACTCAGCCAGTTCTTGACGTTTGAGAATCATGCTACTGTCCCCTAACACCAGGGCATGGGGCCTGTCCTTGTCATGACGGGTGATTCATGCTGATAGTTTAAGGGGTCAGTCCCCTGGTACGTGTGGTCAGGGTAGACTCAGACCACTGCTGCCTGGGCCCAACCACAGTGACCAGCATACCGTAAACACGCAAGTCATGGAGATTGTTTGAGATCATGTGGTTGAATTTTCAAAAGATTTAAATTGCTAGATCCTCTGTCTTAGCTACAGGTAAGAACCTTCCAGAAGTTACCATGAACATGTCCCTTAGCTTACCCCCCCATCTCACGCCCCTGCCCGTTGGTGAAAAGCTGCTTCCAGGTTCTGTCGTCAGAGCAGACTTCAGACAGGGTCGTCTAGTAGGAAAGTGCACATGACAGCTGGGGAAACGTGCAAGCAGGGCTGGGGCTGCCAGGAGGACGCGTAGGGCCGCAGCCCTGCGCAAAGGCACTGCATTTTACAGAGGGTGGGGGATACGCAGGGCAGATTGCCAGCCTGGCATCCCCTCCCCCACTGCCCACAGGCCAGGCTGGGCCCAAAGCAGGGTGGCCACCCAGAGTAACCCTCCAACGTTCACCTGCCCCTGCACTTCAGCCACTCCAACTGCTGCAGCCGTAGGGCGGGGGCTCTGGATGAAGCAAGGATGGACACATAGGCTGTTACTGCACTGTTCTCTACGTGTATGTGGGAAGCGCTCCACAGTAAACACAGGTGCAGTTCACGGCGACTTACCCTTGTTGGGCATCCACCTCTGCCTCCGGAGGTGGAGCACATGTGGCAGGTCCTGGCTATTACAGGACGTGCTCAGTAAGCACTGGCGCAACAGGCAGCCTGGTGGGTCCCTCGGCCCACTCGCACTTTCAGAACCACCCCCAGCTCCGCGCCTCCCGGGCTGGACTGCTTCTTGGCCGCCGATCCGCACCTCCTCGTCACTAGAGGGAGGCCCGCTCACAATTTCCCAGCCGGCTGTCCCCCATCTGAGACTCAGCTGCACACCACCCCTAGGAGGACGCCCTCACGCCGGGGTGGGAGGTCGGGCCCACGTGGCCCGAGCGCTGACAAGCCGACTGCAGACAGGCTCCCGCCGGCCAGGTGCGCGCAGGTGACCGGGTAGGGGTGTGCGGCCCCTCGCGGGCCTTCCACCTTATGCCCTAGGCCTTGAGACCGGGCAGGACGGAGCGGAGCACTTGCAGGCGTCGTGAAAGCCCTAGACACCAGCATCAGGAGGACACCGGCACAGACACTTTCGGAAGGTGCGGGAGGTCACACCGCACGGGACCCCCCTCTCGCCGCGCTGCCTGGGCCAGGCTCGCGACAGCGGGACGGCGACTCGGCGACCCCGTGACCTGGCAGGGGCGGGGGCCTCACCATTGCGCCGTCCAGCCGACGCAGAGCCTCAGCCCTGCGGCGCGCGGACGCAGGC